ATAACAGATAATTTAAGGCAGCCAGACTTGCATTTGGCCTTTTAGACAGGCTTGCCAAAAGCTTATTTACAAAAGTACCAGATTCAAAACATACATAGATTTTCTTAAACCCATTTTTTTCAATGCTTACATTTTCAGCACTGTTTTTCCAATATATATATAAAGTTTATTTTCTAGGTACTCCAGTGTTTTACAATTTTTGTTTGGTTTTGGGTTGTTTTTTTGTTTTGGTTTTTTTCCACTTGAATCCTTTTAAGACAGTATATTTTATGTCCTAGCAAGTAAAAAATGAAGGCAGCGAGACAGGAGTTTTGCCTAGGATCAACAGTAGAAAGTGCTCTGATAACATTTTTGGAAAGAATTAGAAAGTAAAACTATCATTCTTCTTGGTCAGGCGTTCAATGAGATGAAGCAATATTGCAAAAACAAAGGCTTTCATAAATATAAAACAGAACCGAAAGGGTAATTTTAAACAGGGACTTTGAAACATCTCAGAAAATTAACTAAAGCATCCCTTTTTTCTACGTGAAGCTAGACAGACTGTGTCATTACAGAGACTCCATACAAGACAAAATACAGAGCTGCAAAGTCAGGCAAGCCTTCCGTAATTGCTGAGTAGTAACTGGCATGAGAAACCTGTCAACTTAAATATACTCTCTTGAGTCTTTCTTAATGTTAATACAGGGAATTCAAGAATTGAAGTTTGAGAAGTGGATTCCTGTCCTAAGATCCATATGAATTTATGAACACTTTCTAAGTAATCGAGGTAAAGGAGGAAAACATTTCCTGGGAGGTAGCAGAAGTACTGCTATTCGTATTAGCAACAGCATTAAAAAAGCTGAACTGCTTCAACTAGAAGTTGTCAAACACAGACAAAAGAACAAGAAGGCACTAAGTGAAATGCTTATCAGAACAATGATTTTCTTTGAATGTGAGATACACAGTTAAGCAAGGCAAGACTTGTCTGGCCAAAATTTGTGCAACTAGAGTACTAGGCCTTGCAAGTATACTACTGAGTGACAAACAGAATTAGAATTCAGAAAGGAAGGGTGAATTTAAAGACACACAGGCTGTGAAGGTATTTGGAAGTGTGAAGATGGGCACAGTGAAGTGAAATGTGACATAGGGTAGACAAGGGTAGAAGAGATAAGGGAAAAGACTTTGACAGATGATTGTGTAAGAAGAAATGTTATTCCATCATGCCAACAGGGTGCTCAGAGAATCATTGCTCATTGCATTTTTACAATTTCCAACAATTGACATATGCAGTAAATGCATAGCATATATGGTCGAATTTGCAGGATAACATTCAAAACGTTTGGAAAGAGGTCTTATTTATTTTTCTTCCAAGTTCCAGTTGGCTCATGCTTGGACTACAAAATCTATTAGACCATTTTTCCAAATGCAGAATTTAAAAAAAATCACCCAATTACACACTATGACATTTAAGATCAATCTTAGCAGCTAAAACCTCTAGACAGAAGCAGGTGAAAGATTTTTGTTGATAGTGCTTATGTATCTTCATTGATTATCTTGGAGAAATTATAATACTTAAGTTTGTAGAGATCTGAAAAGAAAAAAATTACTCATACATTTCAACAGAAGACCAACACACAGTGAAAATCTTGCTTCCTAATGATAGCACCTACGATACATACCATTTAAATTGGCAGACCACAGTAAACTAAATCTACTGGAATTTTTCTGTGATAATTAGATGGACATGAGAGACAGCTTCCTAAAATTTATAAAATCCAATAAAAAAAAGTTGACTTTGTCTTGATTTCTTTAATACCGTCCCCTAGAGAAGTAGATTTTACTTAAAATCCTACAGGTAGCTTCAATACCAATACTACTATCCCAAAATCATAATACAGCTGGCAGAAAATTGGAAGGCTATTAAAAACTGAAAAGGAAATATTATTTATTTGATTTAGTTAAAATAGATGGGATTATTAAGGTATACCAGCTTCAGATATCTAGAGAAAAAAGGTCAATCACTATTTTACCAGGATTATAAATTTGTTTTAATAGTTAGATGATGGTTGTTCTTCAAGAAATACATGGCTAGAGGCAAAAAAAAATCATTACCACTGATTAAGAATTGCATATATTGAACTAGCATATTAATTGGTACTATTTGGAATTCAAGTGTATCTTGATTATAATGAGACTATGTCTGGTGATTTTCACTTAGGATTTTTAAGTGAATGCTTTTCCTTTGTTAGTATTTGTTGTGGGTCTAGCATGATAGGGCCCAATTCCAGTTAGGTATTCAGATTCTGCCAAATTGGCAGAATTATAATATAGCAGCAGTTACTGCATAAGTGTAATAGACAAAGCTTCCAAATTCAGGAACACAAATGGAATGAAAGGTGAGGAATGAATAATAGATAAATATTTTTTTTACTACATTTTAACAACAACATTTTGTAAAACTGATTTTAATTATATCAGCTTGTATGTTATGCTTGGTGGTGGGGGTGTGGACAAAACTCAATTGATCATAATAAAAGTAGCTCAAGAAAAAAAAGCTATGCCATGACTCTTCATTCTTCTTAATTATCAGTATAGTATCTAAGTAGAACAAATCAATGCTATCCACTTTAAACACCTTTTTTAAAAGCTGTATTAATCATAACTGCAACACATTCAATGTTAGTATAATGTAGCAGAGCTCATGCTTATGTGCATAGGATTTCTTCCCTGGAGTATTTAAAGGAAGTCATTATGCAGTAAAATACCTGTCGCTTGAAGAGTAGGATTGGGAAACACAGTGTTGAATTAAAGTGTCATTTTGCAATAAATTTTTAGAGGTTAGACAGAATCAAGTCTCCACAAGAAAACTGTAGTGCCAAATACATGCAGAACTCTTTTCCACAAAGTAATGAAAGGATGTTGCATTACACAATATGACCTTTAGCTCTCACACTTGTCGAAAGTCAAAATCTGACGCCTGAAATGCTCATTATAATGATTGCTTGAAACAAATTTTATTAAACTACTGCAGTTATTTGAAAGTCATAAAACCCAAAACCAAAACCCTAACCTGAATGTTGGCATGGTGCCATTTGTGATAAAATGACCAGATGTTATCATCTATTAATCCAGGTAACGTAAAAATGGAATTTAATGTTTCCTTTCTCTTCTGTCCAACTACAATAACCTCCTGAAAAATATCATCACTTACTATTTTTTTTTAATAGATACGAGGGTTAGAAAAAGCAACAGAAAACAAATGGCTCTTGTTTTTCTACAATCAAATCTGAGACAGAAACATAATAATTAGATGCCAAATACAGCTTACATTTGGCTTGTTCTTCTAATATTCTTTTAAGGCAATATATGTAGTATTTTTAAAATGACAATAAAGGAAGCCGTTTATCATTCTAAAACAGCAGTGTTTGAATCATAGACTAGTTTGGGTTGGAAAGGTTTAAAGGTTGTCTAGTCCAACCCCCCTGCAATGAGCAGGGACATCTTCAACTAGATCAGGTTGCTCAGAACCCCATCCAACCTGACCTTTAATATTTCCAGGGATGGGGCATCTACCACCTCTCTGGGCAACCTGTTCCAGTGTCTTACCCCAATTTTCCCTTGTCCTATTACAACAGGCCGTGCTAAAATATTTGTCTCCATTTTTCTTAGAAGCCCCCTTTAAGTACTGAAAGGCCACAATAAGATCTCCCCAGAGCCTTCTCTTCTCCGGGTTGAATAAACCCAACTCTCTCAACCTGTACTCACAGCAGAAGTGTTCCATCCCTCTGATTATTTTTGTGGACCTGCTCCAACTGGTCAATGTCTTTCCTGTGGTGAGGGCTCCAGAGCTGGACACAGTATTCCAAGTGGGGTCTCACCAGAGTGCAGTAGAGGGGAAGAATCACCTCCCTTGACCTGCTGGACATGCTTCTTTTGATGCAGTCCAGGATGCAGTTGGCTTTCTTGGCTGTGAGCACACATTGTTGGCTCATGTCCAGTTTTTCCTTCACTAGTTACCCCCAAGTCCGCCTCTGCAGGGCTGCTCTCAATCCCTTCATCCCCCAGCCTATATTGATAGCAGAGGTTGCCCCAACCCAGGTGGCAGGACCTTGCATTTGGCCCTGTTGAACCTCATGAGGCTCACACAGGCCCACTTCTTGAGATTGTCCAGGTCCCTCTGGATGGCGTCCTATCCCTCAGGTGTGTCAACCACACTCCTCAGCTTTGTGTCGTCTGCAAACTTGCTTTGGGTGCACTCAGTCCCACTGTCTACGGCATTGATAAAGATATTGAATAGTACTGCTCGCAATACAGATCCCTGAGGGACACCACTTGTCGCCGATCTCCATCTGGACATTGAGCCATTGACAACTACCCTCTGGATGTGACCATCCAACCAATTCCTCATTCACCCATCCATCCACCCATCAAATTCCTATCTCTCCAATTTAGAGAGAAGGATGTTGTGGGGGACCGTGACAAAGGCCTTAAAGCAGTCCAGATAGATGACTTTCCATGTCCACTGATGTATTCCATATTCCCTCCATCATAGAAGGCCACAAGGTTGGTCAGGCAGGACTTGCCCTTGGTGAAGCCATGCTGGCCGTCTCAAATCACCTCCCTGTCCTCCATGTGCCTTACCAGAGCTTCTATGAGGATCTGCTCCATGATCTTGCCAGGCACAGAGGTAAGGCTGACAAGGTTGGCAGTTCCCAGGGTCCTCTTTTGTACCCTTTTTAAAAATAGGAGCAATGTTTCACTTTTTCCAGTCACTGGGGACTTAACCCAACTGCCGTGACTTTTCAAATATCAGATGCTGTTCATCCCTAAAAATCAGCATAACACCTATTGCCAGCCATGCTGAAATACACAGTAAGAAGTAATCACTCAACAGATGCTAAAAAAAACCCCTGGAAAAAGTAGGTCGTCAAGATCAGGTACAAGCAACATGCACAAACTCGTTCACTCCAAGCACAAGCTTAATAAAACAGGCTTTAGAACAAACAACAATATTGACAGACCTGTGGAGGAACCTGCCTCCTTTTTTGGTCAGGGGATGTAACATACACAGCTTGTGTATATGCGTAACTTTTGAATCGTGGTTTAGGAGAAGGTGAAGGTCCCTGGGGTACCCTGACTGTGATCTACAAAGAAGAAATTAGAAGTGGAAAGAACAGACATATGGATAGGAGCATGGACTACAGAAGTAAAAGAATGATTGTAAGAGTAAGTGAAGAAAAAGAAGTAGGAAGGTCATCACCAGTTATATTTTTCAAGGACAGTGTTTGTATTCAGCAGTCAAAATTGGGATGGTATTAAGGAAAGCTTTTATTTAATCTGACACCCTTTCTAGAAGCAACAAACTGTCAGAACTCAATACCAGCAGAATACCAATGTAAATTGAAGGTTCTTTATACTTTACAAGCAAAGGCTCAAAAAACAAGTGATCTTGTAGTTAATCCTGAATAAACAGAGCCCGTACTCATCTGCTCAGTACTCTAGAGACTGAGCATCCCAAAAGCAAGATACAGATTAAATTCAGACAAGTACACTAGGCCTAAAATCCACTAAACACCTTAGCAGAGACTGATGATTTCAGTCAAAAACATAACTGAAATAGCAAGCATAAATTAATTCCAAGTACTACATGACCTTTTTGAGAGGCCAACCGTTAGCTGAGAACAGATGATCTTAAAATACAAGTCAGTGTAAATAAAATGCTAAAAAATTAAAAATGTATCATGAATATGGAGAAATGTCAACTGCTATGCTCTACAAAAGATAAAAAAGTTTCTACATGTCTGTGTTTAAATGTAAAACCTCCCCCAGTTTCTGTGTTCTTCCTTGTGGTTCCCTTCCACAACCAAAACACCCAGTGCTGTAAAGAGAAGTGCAAAGCACTTATTTGCTGCATAGTTACTTTTAAAGCAGCCTGGTGCAAGATGAAAAACAGTACAAAAGTACAGTTCATGCAGACAAGCGCATTTGACTTCCCTGTGGTGAACAGACTTTGTCCCTTATGCCTGTGGGTTTTTGCCTTCCGTTTGCCATCTAACATCAAACTTACGGGGTAGGTAAGGGAAACAACCACTTCGGAGCAGTAAGATGAAAGCAGAAAAGTGAAATGACTCACTTCTTGTGAAAAATGCTCTTGATGATGTACTTGTATGTGCTCTTCTCTAGTGACCCTTGAGTGTCGTGGCAACATCTCCACCTCCCTGATGGCTTCCATGGTGACTTGCTGGGGCAGAACTTGGAAGAGGGAAGTCACGTACATTAAGATGGACTTCTTATCTGGACAGGCAGTTGCAATGTCTGGAAGACAAATTAACATGCATCATTTTGGTTTACACATTAGACATGAGAAATAGCCAATCAACTTCATGGAAAGTTGATAGACTAATGAGCAATCTATTGTCCATGTGAGCTCTCTAGAGACTAATTACAGCCTTACAATCAGTTCCAAAATTACAGACTAAACTTGCATATCAATGAGAAGGAGCCAAAGTTTATAAAGGTAACTTATTTCATTCAACATGAATTTTCTATCTCTATTTCTTTGGTCAAAATGCACATAGTATACAATATGACACTGATTCTCATTAGGCAGGACTAGACATAGGAAAAGGTGTGTTTTCTTGTGCTATATAAATACTGCAGTTAAAAAAAATAAGGACAAGCTCTTTTTAAGAGTTGTGTCTTGTACATTCTCTTCACATAATTAAATCATCAGAAGCGACAATGATGTAAGAAAAAAAAGATTTACAGGTTTTGCTAGCCAATGGGTTCATACAAAACAACTACTGATGACTTCTAATATAGCTATATAGCTATTATATTCTACTTAGTCTTATATTCTTCACGAAGCCTAAGGAACATGATATTCACAGACAATAAAATGCATAACAGAACGACTCCTTAAAAAGAAGCCCTGTAAAATCTCTGTGGACTTTAGCAGTAAGTACAAGAAACTTTGCAGGAACACAAAGACAGTTTCAGGTTTTGCACACAACCACAACATACATTGGCAGAAGTGGTTCATCTGACTCAACATTTCAAGTGGATAACAATTTGTAAAAATGTAAGGCATGTGGCAGATCTTTGAAGTACTTTGTTATTTGGCATTGATGTTTACCTCCCACACTCAGGCTAGTGAATCAACATGTAAAAAGACTGCTGTACAAGAAATTTATCATTAATTTGGAAAGTGTGTTAACATGAGCACTGGCAGAAAGCCAAGAGTGATGAGTTTTTATTGTCCTAGATCAATTCTGGCTTAGTCAAGATTTCAGTTCAGGAAAACGAAAGGAAAGGAAAACGAAAACGAAAGGAAAACGAAAGGAAAACGAAAGGAAAACGAAAGGAAAACGAAAGGAAAACGAAAGGAAAACGAAAGGAAAACGAAAGGAAAACGAAAGGAAAACGAAATCAATTAATATATTCTGGCAGACTCAATAATGCTACAGGGTGGCATCTCATTCTCTTCCTAGAACGCAGAATGCATGAAGGAAGGCACCTTACATTAAAAGCTTCACATATATTTGGAAATCAATAGAAGACATCCTATCAATATTTTTGGGTTTGTTTTTCAACCTATCTCTATACCTTTGCTTGATACATTATGAAAGAGAGCTGAAGGCTTAGTTCTACTTAGAATTGGCTGGAAAAATGGCATGTTCCCGCCAACATCCCCACCACCATAAGATTTATGTCTTAGTGGCCTCAGTATACAGAATATGCTCATTTAAAAAAAAAATAAAAAGACAAGAACAACAAAAAAAGATAAAAACAACATGACTTTTCTACATCATTGCAACCCTCGGTCTTCACAGGCTTCACTTCTGTGATAGAATTCAGTCCAGGAAGTATTTTGCTATCACCATCTTCTTCTCTTCTCATTAATATTTTAACACCAATTTGTTATAGTCAGTGTCCACTAGTAATTGATGTTTACAAGAATATCCATGCCTTTACACAGCAAGAGTATACACTGAAAGAACAGACATTAGTGCCAGCTGTGATTTTTCCGTTTGTTGTTCATTATTTTCCTTTTCAAAATGTTCTAGTAATCAAATAGGCAAATACCTTATCATTTATCTACACAAATATCTCACACAATAAATAAAACAAGTACCTTGCAGACAATACACATGCCAAAAATTGTTTACCCATTCTATCTGACAAATAAAAAGTACATATGCAGCTGACAGAATCCACTGGCAAATAGGAAAAGATTTAATTATTTAATCTGAATAAACAGCTAAACAACCATTGCTGCAAAGCCTGGAATATCAATCTGTCTCTCAAAATTCTTTTTTGCAGGCTCTTGAATTATCAGAGCAGGAGTGACTTCTGTTATCATATGCCTTTGCCTTAATATTTTTTTTTTCTTTTTGAATCTGAGTCTAATATAGTGTCTTTACCACACATTCAGACTAATGAATATTTGAAGTCCTAGCAGTTAGGCAGTGAATAAATTTCAATTTAAGCACTTACTTGCAAGAAAGTTCACTAATTCCCTGGAAATATGTCTGCTTTAGTTCCTGGGGGCAAAATAGCTGTCAAGCCAGCCTACACATCCTAAAAACTAATCTTCAACTCTCAGAAAATATGGAAGATATTTAAGAAAATTAATTCAACATATGTAGACTATGCCATTATTCGCATACTGGTTTTGATAGAAAAAGTAAAAACAAACAAAGTAATTATCCAGACTTCCCCCCCCAAACCAAGGTATCTTCTCCACATTCAGCTCAGAAGCAATACTTTCTGAATATTTTCATCCTTTTTCTTAACAATTACTTTCCAGGGTAGGATTGAAAAGAATACATAAGAATAAAACCAAATTAGACTACAAGTTAAAAGAGAGCTTAAAATGAGAAGCATAATAAAATTAGCACACATTATATTATTAACATGTTCATCAATTAAGAATCTGAAAGACTTTGGGGAGCTCTGAAAACCATCCCTGCTCTTTAACAAGATACAGTTATAGGAAAGTAAGTTTCCAGCATGAATTTTCCAGCTATTGAGAGAAATCTTCTACTGTAGAAAACTTTATACTGGCAGACCAACGTTCTTCAAAAGAAAACAGTGACTTTCTGGTACTCAAACTGAAACATGTTACATGAAGCATATTGTTCACAGAACTAGTTTTATGGATCTTCTGATCCATAGGCTTACTTACTAAGACATCATTTCTTTAAGCGTCTTCTATAGTGAAATCAACAAAACTCCTTTTCAGGATACAGAACAAGAGCCCGACTTTACATACTCTGCCTGAAAAAATGTCCACACATTCTGACCATTCAGTCTCTCCAGGGGAGGTCTCCAGTCAGATTGAGAAAGTAAAGAGAAATAAGCCAAAACATCTCCTCTAATACACAGGGTGAAAAACCCGTATGATACTAAGGAGACACCGTAAGAACCAAAATTCGAACATGAATGTTAATGTGTGATAACATCCTGTTCATCTAGAGACACAGCTACTTGGAACAAGCCCCAAAAGAGCAAGAAGAATCTGGTTTCACCACAGAACCTTAAAACCACAAAATAAACACCAATCCAACCCTGTTTAAGTGTAGCTGCCTTTAAAGGGTTATTACAGGTTTAATTCAGGAAGCAATTTGCCCAATAAAAGTTCACTACGGATTGATTTTTCTCAGCAAATAGTCTTCATTTTCTGATTAACATAACCATGTTGAGGATGGGTGACTACAATAAACCTGAAATGTTCTGAAACCATTTCTTTGCTGTAGGATGCAGTGCCAAAAAAGTAAATGAATTAAAAAAAAAAAAAGTCAAACTCTTCAAAAAGTGATCCAATGGCAAATTTTATAAGCCTTGCAGTTCACAAGTGGTTTGTTCTTGCATCCATGTGTTCCGTCAACAAGAAATTCCCTGCCAACATTCCCAGCTCTGGTGGAAAGAAGCATTTTTAAGAGATGAGTGAAAATGAGGATGATATAAAATACCTAAATAAGCTGCATATTAAAAAGTACTGTACAGGTCTACCAACATGAACAAAATCTAGCATTTTGTTATACAGTGTTACATTACGTATATACAGTCACACACAGAGTGCAAATTATAAGCATTCATGCAAATGTTATTTTCAAATACATGTCTACTTATAATACAGCCATTAATATTTTGCTTTCTCAAAGCTTTGACCAAATGACAGTTCTGACACTATTTGTGCTGATTCCACCCACTCTTTGTATCAAACCAGTAGCAAAGTAACTTTGAAAGAAGAAAGCTTAAATGCTTGCCGCATTGTCAGAAAGATTACATTACCGTACCTAAATTGCTGATGTGGGTTTTTTTTTTTTAACATTAAGACACAAATTCTGAAACATACTTTACCTAATACAGTGCTGAGAAGCAAGATAAGACTTGAGTCCTAAAAATACAAGAAATCCTTTGTCCTCAAAAGAAGTAGGTAGGATTTTCAGATAATCACAAAGTAGAAAACACAGAAAACTAACTTTTAAATCCTACACATCACCTAAACTGTTAGCTTCCATGATGACAGTAATAATAAAAAAATAGCAATATTGTAACATTACTTGTTTCTGTCCCACATGAAATTTTAAAAAATGTACTAAAAAAACCACAGCCCTCCCTTCCATCACACTGAAGGAGATCCTCAAAGCTGACTTGAATTTCAGAGATAACACAGCTTTTTTTCCCTGATAAATCGAGGCTGTTGTTTTTTCTTCTATGAAAGAAATTTTTCATTTTAAGGCTTATTAATTATAACAACACAATGCAAACATTTATCAGAATTTCTGAAAACAATCCTACTGCTATCTCCAAATATATGTTTAGAAAGGACTTCGAGATAAGCTAACTGCAGAAGCTCTCAAAGTATTGAGATAAGACAGAATCTAGTGGACACATAAAAGATTAGTTTCTACAATGTAAACTCAGTACAGGAGGGATTTCAACGTATGGCAACTCCTACTGTGGCACTAACATCAACTGTAGTATTGAAGATGAGGGCAAAGTAGAAGTGTTTAAAAACGTACAAAGACAGCTTACATGTTTATTTTTATTTATTTTACCTCTTAGTCTCAAGAACAGGGGTGAACTTTTCAAAACGTGTTCAAATTCCTGTGATAATCTGTCTGACAAGGCTCACCAAAACACTTTGAATAAGCTTTAATAAAAGCTAAGTCATGTACTTTGATCACGTTTTGATTTGGATGAACCTAAATCTGTAATTGAAACTGTATGAAATTGTATAAGATTGTACTAGTAAGAATGTAACTGATTGTCCTAAATAGCAAGAAAAACAAGTAAGATTTCATTCC